ATTACGTGAATCATAACTATATTCAATTTATGTCTAAACTTTAAGTCGAAAAATGCATTAGATTAGGGAGACCGTGAGAGAAAAACATGGCGAAATATCTTAATTTTCTCATAAGTATATGACTATATACGACATAATTATTTTTTAGATCCAAACTCATACTAATAGTTGGAACACGGGTTGGGTCGGGTTCTACGGGTTGTTTAATCCAAAATTCAAACCCAACCCAAAAGAGGCGGGTTGTACAAAAGAAAACTTTCACCCAACCCAAAACCTTCGTTTTAGCGATAAATACGGGTGGGTTGGGTCGGGTTGGACGGGTGGATCAATTTGCGAGTGTATTTGTTCACCCCTATCTGTGTGTGCAGTGCAAGGGGTTGCAGTGGGTTTTCTTTCTTCAATTTTTATCTTGAACCTGCTTTGAAACAAAGATAATACTAGAGTTGATAGTTTCGGCTGTGGACTAGTCTTGATCACACCGATCAAGGAAAACATGTAAATCTCTGTCTCCATTTTGATTCTGGTTCTAGTTATATCTGTTTCAACTCTGTTTCTTAACATGGTATCAGAGCCTTCGACCATCTCTCCGATATGACCCCTCCTTCCTCCCCACCAGCTTCGCCACCTCTGGCTTCGCCTCCGCATCGCCGCCATCTTCGCTTCCGCCACCACCGCCACCAATGGTCCGCCGATCCCTGCGCGCCATGCGTGGGGTCCCTCCTCCTCGTCATAGTGATTTTTTCTTATGGTGTTGATGCTCTTGCAGTTCCTACTCGGTATTCACAGGCCAGGGATGATCCGAACTGGAATCGGGCTATGACAGAAGAGATTGGTGCTCTACTAGTTAATCAGACATGGGTGGTCGTTCCTCGTCCTCCTGATCGCCCAGTTGTTGGGTCTCGTTGGGTGTATGCTCTCAAGTTTCTTCCTGATGGTACTTTAGAGAGACACAAGGCATGTGTTGTTGCTCAGGGGTTTAGCCAAGAATACGGTGTTGATTTTGATGGGATGTTTGCTCTAGTGGCCAAGATGGTTTCTATCTGGACTCTCCTAGCTGTGGTTGTTGTTCGTCGTTGGCCTCTATATCAGTTGGATGTCAAGAACGCCTTTCTGCATGGTGATCTTAAGGAGACTGTGTATATGGAGCTTCCTCCTGCCTACTCTCCTCCCACTGATATTCCATATCATGTCTGTCTCCTCCATCGTTCACTTTATGGCCTCAAGTAGGCTCCACGTGCGTGGCTTGATGAATTCCATGCTACCGTTCTGGGTCTTGGGTTTCAACAGAGTCAGAACGATCACTCCCTCTTTGCACGCCGGTCTGCGGGAGGTATTGCTCTTCTTCTTCTTCTTCTTCTTCTTCTTCTTCTTCTTCTTCTCTATGTTGATGATATGATTGTTACTGGTGATGATGAGGTTGGGATTAAGACGCTTACTCAAGGTCTGCATGAGTCGTTTAAGCTGAAGGAACTTGGTTCCCTCTCTTACTTCCTGGGTCTCGAGGTTGGACGATCACTGGAGGGCATTTTGCTTTGTCTGAAGAAGTACATCACTGATCTTCTTGAGTCGACTAAATTTTTTTATTATACTCATGTTTCAACTCCCATGGAGGTGAATGTGAAATTGGGGAGGGAAACATATGATTTATTAGCTGATGGTGGGAAGTAGTATCAGAGTATTGTTGGGAGTCTTATCTATCTTACATAGACTCATCCTGATAGTGCCTATGTAGTCTAGATAGTTGCCCAATTTATGTCTGCTCCCCGGATGGCTCATGTAGCTGTAGTTCATCGACTTCTCCGGTATCTTCAGGGTACTCGAGGAGTGGGTTTGTTCCTTCCAGCGACAGGTTCATTTGTCCTCCATGCCTTTTCTGACAATGATTATGCAGGATGTATTGATATACGTCATTCCACAACTTGTTGGTGTATTCGTCTAGGTGGTTTTTTCATCCCTTGGAGATGCAAGAAACAAGATTGAGTCTCTAAGTCTTCCAATGAAACAGAGTATAGGGCTATGTCTAATGTGGTATCTGAGCTTGAGTGGCTTCTAAGGTTACTTGCTGATTTTGGAGTGACGTGTAAGATTCCTACGGAGCTTTATGTAGATAACACCAGTGCTATCCGTATAGCTACAAATCTAGTTATGCATGATCATACGAAGCACATTGAGGTTCATGTGAACTATATTCATGACTTGGTTCAAGATGGGGTTATTCCCATCTTCCATGTTAAGTCAGAGGACCAGATTGCTAACTTACTGACTAAGGCCTTCACTGCTAGTCGCCATTTCTATCTCGCTGGAAAATTGATGATGCGAGACCTCCATCAATTTGGGGGAGGCCGTTGAGTTATGGATTGTCGTATGGGCCAATGTAATTATTATATAGCAGTTATAGGCCTAGTCTATGAGAGCCTATTCTAGTCGATCTCCTCCCTCTCGGCTAGGGTTAGCTTTACATATATATTTGTATCTTGAACCTACTTTGAAGCGAAGATAATACGAGAGTTGATAGCTTCAGTCGTGGACTAGTCTTGATCACACCGATCAAGGAAACCACATAAATCTTTGTATCCGTTTCGATTCTGCTTCTAGTTGTATATGTTTTGATTCCGTTTCTTAACACATATCTGCCTCGCCTTGCCCCCAACACAAGTCTGGATAAATCGGATAAAATACCCATATTGATGTCGTCATTCCTAATCTAAATTGATCAAATGAAACCATATTTATTCCGTTTCTTAACACATATTTGCCTCGCCTTGCCCCCAACACAAGTCTAGATAAATCGGATAAAATACCCATATTGATGTGGTCATTCCTAATCTAAATTGATCAAAATGAAACCATATTTAGCTTTAACTAGTTTTGTACCAAATTCTTTGGACGGATGATTTCACCTTGGAATTTCCACCCAAAATGGTAAATATTTAAGTTTCAATTTTTCGAGGAGTGATTTGGATGACGAATTTGTCTCAAATTCCTCATTCTATCAGATTTCATTATTTATTCTTTCGTTTGGAAATGATTCTTTGAACGAGTGATTTTCCACCTCCCAGAATTTGAAAACACACATGTGCAAGTTTTCAAAATAACCGGTCCACCCTATTTTAAAATCCCACACTAATTTATCCATTTATGCCAAATTTATCATTGCTTGCCCATCACATTGTTTTCATTCATCTTATTAGGGATGGATAATGGATAACGGGTATTTGGGTATACCAGTACCCGTCTCGTTTTTAAGGATTACAGGTATTCATAATAAATGTAATATTATTAACAGATGAGACTTGGGATTGTACATTACTATAATGGGTACCCGCGGGTTACCCGCAAATACCCACTTGGGTAATATGGGTACCCGTTAAACCTGTTCATTATACAAACTTTGGATATTTATGTATAGTATGGGTACCCGTTAGCCGTCTCATACGGGTAATGGGTAACCATTTACCCATATGGGTTTGGGACATGGGATGGACTTTGATCTCCAAACAAGATTGGGTACTCGTTTCAAACGGGACGGATATCCCTTCCCGTCCCATTGCCCACCCCTACATCTTATGTATCACATTGTCTTTCTCCCCCCAAACAGACTTCTCGACCATGACGAAAACAAACTCCAGTCATGTAGAAGAAGATGGGTCTTTATCCAAACTAATTATTTGAACTAAATTCTATGTATAAATTCTCAGATAGTTTAAACGAAGAATTTGAATAATTATAAACAATCCAAAATAGTATCATTTGAATGGAGAGGAGGGGTTATTGTATAGTTTGGAGGTTGTGATTCTTCAAATTGATGCATTGATTATATGTATGAGTTTGGAAAGTATCTTGTTTGAAAGTTTAGATTTTGTTTTTGCTACAAAAGAAAGTTGGATAGACAATTCCTTATTAATAATCACTCATTTTGAGTGATTATAGATAAGCCAAATACAAAACTTAAAATCTCAACCGTAAACTATATTTCTTCACGATCAAGAAGATGACAAAAAGAGAGAAGGAAATAGAACAACTCGGAAAAATAGAAAATAGCAAAGCACTAGGATGACAACAAAACCCGAACCCACGGGTACCCACCCAACCCAACCCGGTCAACTCCGTTCACTATTCACCGGGTTGGGTTTGGATTTAAGTAAACCCGACCCATGGGTACCCGCCCACACCCATATAATTAATTTTCTAGGTATATTTAATATTCTAAACAACTAATCTTATTTATGTTTGTGGAGATATGTCTAATTTTTTCTTTCTAATTGTGTAGAATGAAGTTGATGTTATCGAGTGGAGAGTGAAGAAACTTAATTGAAAGGAAGAAACTTTCAATTAATCATGTTATTTATGGATAATTTATGATTTGCTTCAATTTTCTTGAGTTTTCTAGATTGGTGTTGAACAATTTGTATAGTTAATTTGTGATTTGCTTGAATTTTCTAGAATGGTGTTTTAAAGATGGATAATTTGTATTGAGAGATTGATATTTGACGTTAATTTTCATAGAAATTTGTTATTTTAAATTTTTTACGACAAAAACCCGTGGGTAGATTTTCAAACCCAGTGGGTTTTACTCCGGGTTTTTTCACAGATAAACCCACGAATTTGGGTTTGGGTTTGGCAAAACCCGACCCGACCCGACCCGACCCGACCCGACCCGACCCATAGACACGCCTTTACTTTTCCGCCCGACGACGCTCATCCCTGACGTCAGCATCCATATAAACGCAAACATATGGGAGCCACCGTCGTCGGCCAGCTTTCTTTCCTTTCCTTTCCTTTCCTTTCCCTCCCTCCGCCGCCGTCCAATCATTCACACTACAAACTAGCAAACGTCACTGCTTTCGCGTCCCACCTCCCCAATTTCTCTTCCCCCACCGCCTAACCCCCCAAACTTATATATAATGCCGATCAGTTTCCCCAATTTCAGTATCAGTCATCAGCAAAAGAAAAGAGAGAAAGAAAGAAATCAACAAAACAACAAGAAGCTTACTTAAACAATGGCGGGCTCTGTGACAGAAATGGAGAACAAGCAGGTGGTGCTGACGGAGTACGTGACCGGATTCCCTAAGGAATCGCACCTAGCCGTCCGCAATGGTGGAAAGATTCAGCTCAAGGCTCCACAAGGCTCGGTTTTGGTGAAGAACCTTTACCTCTCCTGCGATCCGTACATGCGCGGCCGCATGTCTCCTCCCAAGGCCGGCGGCGATCCCAACTTCGCCTCCTTCACCCCTGGCTCTGTAAGTCCGGCGAAACAAAACTCTGTTGTTTTGAGGATTATTAACAATCTCTGTTTGATTAGGGTTTCCGTGAGAGAAAAATTATATAAAATTAGGTCATGACGGTGAAGTCAAGATTGTAGTGAATAATTTTTTTTAGGTTATGCAATTCAAATCCCAGCGTGTGCAATTGGTCTTAAACCTCTGTTTTTTACTCTGTTTAATTGTGGAAATTTCTGCGCTTAATAACGATTGCAGCCGATACAAGGGTTTGGAGTGGGCAAAGTGGTGGATTCAGGAGTGGCAGAATTCAAATCTGGAGATTTTGTATGGGGAGTGACTAGCTGGGAAGAATACAGCATCATCTCAAACACTAAAACCCTGTTCAAGATTACCAACACAGAAGATGTTCCCCTTTCCTATTATACCGGTCTCCTTGGTAAGCATGAAATTGAAATGCTTGCCTTAATACGATCATTCCTGGACTTCTCCCGACAGCTCGATCTATTCGCGTGATGGTTGTGATTGTCTTCTTTGTTTGATCATTTTGGTGTAATGGTGGTAGGTATGCCTGGTGTGACTGCATATTTCGGGTTCCATGACGTTTGTGCACCCAAGAAAGGAGAGTATGTCTTTGTTTCAGCAGCATCTGGTGCAGTTGGCCAGCTGGTTGGCCAATTCGCAAAGCTTGCCGGTTGCTACGTCGTTGGAAGCGCTGGAAGCAAACAAAAGGTTGAGCTGCTCAAGTCCAAGTTTGGGTTCGATGAGGCGTTCAACTACAAAGAGGAGAATGACTTGGATGCAGCTCTCAAAAGGTAAAAACTAAAAAGATTGAAGGCTTTCCATTTGGGTCTTCGATCGTCAATCTTTGACACCACTCCACTATCAAACCGGTTATTAATGAATTCACTGTTTTTTTTCTTCTCCGATACAGGTACTTCCCTGAGGGCATCGACATCTACTTCGAGAACGTGGGTGGCAAAATGCTTGATGCAGTCCTTTCCAACATAAGAGTCCATGGGCGAATTGCAGTTTGTGGAATGATCTCCCAGTACAACCTAGAGCATCATGAAGGCGTTCACAACCTAGCTGCAATGATATACAAGCGTGTTCGGATGCAAGGTTTTGTGTCGTTTGATTACTTCGCCCGATACTCTGAGCTCTTGGATGATGTTGTGCCTTACGTGAAAGAAGGGAAGATTGCTTATGTGGAAGACGTAGCTGAAGGTCTGGAGAATGGCCCTGCTGCCCTTGTGGGACTCTTCAGTGGGCGGAACGTTGGAAAGCAAGTTGTGGCAGTGGCTCATGAGTGAGCTTGCTTTTTGTAATTGTGATTTCAGTGCAATTTTTATTCTAATTTGTGTTTAGTTATGGTTTCTCTGCTACATTGTTCATGTAAGGGGGCGCTTGGAATATATTTAAATAGAAAATAAAACAAATCGATTCAGAGCAAACATTTCACAAATCAACCGAAAATATGAAATTCGCTCTATTTAATCAATTTAACGCTGTCAAAGCATAACCACGACCCCTTGGCAGCCGACAATTGATAGGAAACATGAACATGTTGCCCAATGCACATGCTAAGAGTTCAACTTCCAGCATATTTGTAGGCCAAATGTGTCACTGATTCAATATCAAACCTTTAGAATTGAACTCCATAACTGCCTACAACTTTGGGGAAAAGGTGAGTTTCAGATGCCTAGCCATGACATGTCTGACAAATTTTATACAAATGCATTACAGAAGTGATGATCTATCACCTACATTCAGAAATTAGGCCACTCCGACCAATACTTGTCCAATCTCTCGAAACCCCAATACAGGTGTAGAGAGATTCTGAATCCTCCATGGTAGAAATTGAATCTTACAGCAAACCAAAGTACAGGATACCACACGTTCGATCAAAGCTTCCAACAAACAGGCATAACCCAACAAAGAAAATATGTGCACAACTAATTAGTCCTCTTTCCCATGGCGCTACTAATGCCTCATTGCATCCCCTGCAAGTGGACATTCAAGCTAGTTACTCCTATATCGTTCTTGACAATGAAACGAAACTAACCTAGGTATCAACCGCCATTCCAAAATTACTTCTGCTCTTGCGGAAATATATTGGATGTGTGGGAAATTCATGTTCAACTCACGATTTAGAATTTTCAAACTGCTAATTTTGGATCCACTGATCCTGAAGCATTGCCATCACCTGTCAGGAGGTGGTCAGGATCCTGAATTAAAACAAATGTCGTTAGCAAATAGTTCATAAACAATTACAGATTACACATAGGTTCAGCTGGATAAGTAGAGATAGAGGATGTGAGTTGTTCATCGGGGAAATATACCTCCATGCCCCACTTGATGTAGTCAGGAGATTCACAAGCCTTATATTCATCAATCAAACTACTGATTATTTCCCTTGATTCGTCGAACTCAGAAAGGTCATTGTCCTGATCACATTCAGCACACGAGTAATTATGAAGCCAGAGTACTCATTATATAAAACTAGCTCAAGAATTTTGAATTTTTATTAAAACAATTTTTGCCCAAACCAAAGTGAACAGAAGGTTACACAACTTGGTTATGTAATGGAACTTTGGAGGTATTCTGAAGAAAAATGTACAAACCAAAAATTCCTCAATCATTATAGAAACCATGATAAGGAAAACTCACGGCAAACATTGGGAACTTCCGGTAGTTATCAAGAAAAGCTTGCTTCCCTCTCAACTTGGCATACTGGAACACAACTTTGTCGAAGAGATGCCGTATGCTGGTATGGCTTGCTAACATGAGACCACTTACCTACAAAAGCACAAAATATTTAAGACAAATTAGATGTCCTCCAAACTTGTGCACAGATTTGATTGTTAGGCAAATCAGCACTAAAACAGAAAGTCAAGTCCCACCCTATGAGCAGTCTGGACGTACGGAGACTTCCTTGACAAAGCAACCTAGTAGCATGGAAATAAACAAATCAATGAGGTTAGATGAAATGGAGAGACGAGACATAAATTATCGGACAGAATGCAAAGGGAGGAGAAATGCCTGTATACTTGCTGGGCCCCACTCTATAAAATTGACAAGCTTCCTCTCGCGAATCCTCTGCAAGCTCTCATGGACCTGATAACGGATAAAGAAATGTTGGAATTGCGAAATTTATAGCACAGTAAAGCGTATACCACAGAGAAAAATGATGAGCAGTCCAACGAGTAAACTCATAGGCTATCTATTGCAATCAAATCATCTAAACCACACTAAGATGGAAAGTAATCCAAGTCAGGAATATATCAATTTCAAAAGACAGAACTTTAACTAAAAGGTAAATGATTGTTACCTGAGTAGGGTCTACCTCCCCTTGGATTATGTTTAATATCGAAATATACTTGGCTTGACTAGCTTCTTTTGTCCTAGCGTATGAAGAAACCATGATGTTTTTTGTCTGGGAAAACATAGCTAATGTCATGAGAGTGCCCTAAGAGATCTTGCTGACAATCAGTAACCATCATTTACCTGTAGGAGCCTTCTCATGACATCCAATACAGTAGTTTTACGGATAACATTAGCCTGCCAAAGCAAATAGTATTATCAAACAGTCAAACTTAGGAAATCCGTTGTTCAAATCTGGAAAAAACTAATGGATAGGAATCGCACAAAATTGTCCCCCAGGTGTATAAAATGACTATGGTGCTGGTATTAATCACGGAAAACAAATCAATGCAACTGGACCATGAACCTCTATATAGTAGAATCCATAAGCTTATCATTGTAACCACGGAAAACCACTCCTTAAGTTTAACATATCCAACTATAAATAATTGAAGTCCGAGGTAAGAACACTAGGGGGAAGCTGACATCACTGTATAAGAGAATACCTGTCTTTCCACAGTAAGTGGTGTATATCCTGTCATGAGAAAATGGCATCTTGGTGTGGGAATTAGAGACGCAAGAAGTCCAACCAAGTCGTTGTTCATATACCCAGGATACCTCAGTGTAGTTGTGCTGGCAGACATCACAGTAGATACCAAAGAGTTTGTTTGAGCAAAAGTAGGATTCGACAAATGTAGGCGCTCCACTGCAATTCTATTGAGAGCAGTGTTGTCAAGAACGACAACGCAATCCGCATTGAGTGTCAGTCTCTTGAGTGTTAACAGAGAGTTGTATGGTTGAACAACCACGTCACTTGTCTCCATCTGGTTTGGAAATACACTATACGTCTGCACCAATTTTTTGCTATAACGGTCATTCAAAGTCTCCAGCAGATATGAACCCATACCTTCATAGCAAATGAAAACAACATTAAATGAGTAAACGAGTATGCATTGAAGCCCCTTGCGCATAATTGCTAGTCATTGAAGTGAAACTTTCACAGAGGAACATAAACAGTTATACATTGGAACCTGCTATCCATGACGTACTTGAGGAGAACCTCACACTTCCCAAATGCAGATTAGTTTAATGTTGTCAAATCACTTCAAACTAATAGAAGAATATTGAGCTAAAGTTTCCGGTACTAAGCAGTATGGAAAGCTCACACTAGAAGTAGTACATCGACTCAGAACTAAGGGTTTATGTTCTTTAAAATCAGGTAATTCAAACCTGAGCCAGTCCCTCCGGCAATCGAATGACAAAGCACAAAACCCTCAAGACTATCGCTTCCATCAGCTTCTCTATCTATCATGTCCATTATATCTTCTTCAACCCCTTGACCCTGTCAGAGTTAAGTGAGATGTTAGCACACAGATACAGTCAGGTATTAAAAAATCCAGCGACTAACCTGATGATATCCACTGGCCCAGTTGTTTCCAGCACCCCCACCATGATCTGAAACAAAGATGTTCTCGTGGTTGTAGAGATTCCTATATTCACCGTTCTGAATTCCATTTATCACTCTGGGCTCCAAATCGATTAGCAAAGCACGAGGTATATAGTGCTGGTCATCAGCTTGGTAAAAGAACACGTCTTTCCTGTCACCTCCCTGCATCGCCACAAGTCAGCAAAAGAACTAAACATTCCAAACGACTAAAATTATCTCCACGACTCAAAAAATACTAGAATCAAAACCAAATAGTCATGATTGTGACTACAAGTGGGAGCTGCAGTGAATCAATTCCAAATTTAAAATTGGAGGTAGAACACATTTCCAACTACAGTAACGCCTATTGTCAAAATGGATACAGATGAGGTACACAAGAAATAAGGAACAGCAGGGAAAATGCAAGCTAGAAGAGCAAGTCAAAATGACTGGTGGCCACAGACAGCGAGCCATATTAAGCTTGCCCATTTGAATTGCGGTCTTGGGTAATCGAATAATTGAGTGAATGAAGAAGTGGGAACAAAAGAGGAGACCTGAGTAGCGAAATCCTCAAGAATGCCGTCTTTGCTGATGCCATGCTCGAGGCAAAGCTGCTTCCAGAACTCCATCCCAATCTGGTTCCCGCATTGTCCCACTTGCAGAGTGATGATTTCTCTCGGCATGTTCAAGTGGTATCCTTTCCCCTGGAGGAAGAATGGAGGGGAAATGGAAACTAGGGTTTTTGGGAAGAGAGCAAGCAAAAAGCTTTGTATCTGGTTCTGGTGCGGAAGAAGGGTGTTCTTAAAAAAAAAGAGGGGAGGGAACGAAATGAGAGAGAAGGAAGGAAAATAGGAAATGCCGATAAGATTGTACGAAGTGCTAAACTGAACACTAATGATTAATAGGGCTGGCCGTTCGGTTAGCGGTTGTCGGTTAACCGGCCGGTTAAATCAATAACTGGCGGTTATCGGTTAACCGGCTAACCGAAAATTGTAGCTTCGGGCAGTTGGCGGTAGCGGGGCTAGTTATGCCGGTTAACCGGCTAAGCGGCAATTGCAAAACGACGCCGCCCTGCCCTCCTATTCCCCGACCCTGAAGGGCGGCGCCCTCGCCGCTCTACGCCGTCGCCAGCCACTCCTCAGCTGTCGAGAGCTCCGCCAGCGCCGCGTCACTCCTCTGCTCGCAGCCAGCAATCGCCATCCAACCCGCCTCCTCTATGGCTTGTGCGAGGGCGACCCTGCTGTCGAGAGCTCCGCCGGCGCCGCGCCACTCCTCTGCTCGCAGCCTGCACCCAGCCATTAAATTATGTAAGTGTTTCAATTTCATCACTCCCCTGCTTAATTTGCCCCTGCTCTGCCACCGCTGCCAAAACAGAGAGGTTGTTGTTCTTCCTCTGCTTCATTGTTGCCGGTGTGAAGGACGAGAAGTGATGGGATTTCCTCTGTTGTTATTGATAACCACCCCAACTTTGCTTGGGCATCACCGACAAATCCGAGGCCCCCGGGTTTTCAAGGCCCCACGGGAAATTTCCAACCTCGGCCGACCTTCATCCAACAAAGGCCCCAACTCCAAGGCTCAAGCTTCCAACAACCGTACCAATCACAAGGTGCCCTAGGGTTTCAACAACCCGACAAGCTATCTAAGCCTGAAGACCTAGTGAACAACTTTGTGAGTACGAGTGCTCAAAAGTTTGAGAAGATAGAGCAATTTATGGAAGTGTCGACTATTAAGTTTACCTCGATTGAGGCGGGTCTCCGAAGCCAACAAGCGAATCTCCAAAGCTTGGAGGTGCAAATCAACAACCTTGTCGGCATCCTCACCGAGAGATCCAAGGGGGCCCTACCTTCCCAAGCCGGGGTGAATGCACTTTACGTGAGGAGTGTGAAGGTGATTTCGGAAGTCGCCACTGAAGAAGTGAAGGAGAAGGAAGATACCAACCCGAAGAAGGGAGAGAAGAAGCTCTCGAGGAATGAGAGGAGGCGTCAAGGAAGGCATCGCCGGTGCGGGAGTACACACCACCTCTTTCTTATCCCACGAGGATGTACAAGGAGAGGTTGGAGGACGAGTGTGGAGGTTTCATGGAAATGCTCTGCACCCTCCACCTCAACATCCCTTTCCTTGAAGCCATGGCTCAAATGCCAATATATGCCAAGTACTTCAAGGGATTCCTCGCGAAGAAGCCAAAGCTTGAAGGTCTCGCCAACGTGACTCTTGGCTAGGAGTGTTCGGCTTACCTCCTCAATCGCTTGCCCAAAAAGTGGTCCGACCTAGGTAGCTTTACTATCCCTCTTGATATTGGCAACCATCATATTGACAATGCCTTGGCGGATCTAGGAGCTAGTGTTAATGTGATGCCCTACAAGCTTTTCAAAAAGTTATAAGTAGGTGAACTTAAGACCTCTAAGCTTAGAATCACCTTAGCCGACCGTTCGGTCATTAGCTCGAGGAGTGTTGTGGAGGACATGATGGTGAGAGTGGGCAAGTTTTGCTATCTGACCGATTTCATGATTCTCGACATAAGGGAGGACTCGGATATGCCACTCATCCTCGGTCGTACCTTTCTTGCCACCTCCAAGGCATTGATAAACGTTAATGAGGGGACCTTAATTCCGAGGGACGGTAAGGACAGAATCAAGCTTGAAATTGATCCTCAGTTTAGGAGTGATGAAGTGAAGGAAGTGATTTCAAATGATGTGAATGAGACTGGATGAGAGCCTCTCAAGGCAAACCCCACCATTCCTTGTGTTGCTTTTGGTATTGTTGAGCAGGAAATGAAGGAGGGTAGTATGCCCAAGGAGAAGAGGAAGAATGTTTGGAGGAAGAAGATGAAAGAAGCTATGGCCCGGAGGAAGGAGAAGGCCAAAGCGAAGTTGGCCAATCAAGAGGACCAACTCATGGAGCCTAAGACGGGAGGCTACAAGCCTCGCCCCGAGTGTGGTGGATCCACTCTCGGATGCATCATGATCTAAGTCGTGATCGATCCCCAACCGTCAAGCTAATGACGATTAATTAGCGTTTGTTGGGAGGCAACCCAATGGAGGTTTGTTTTCTTTTCCTTATTTTAGTTTTTGTGTCGAGTGAATAGTTCGAGTGGTGAAGTGGTGTCCCCATGCCAAGTTTTGTGGTTTTATGGTTTATGGTTATGTTGTGATCGATTAGGAGGCACGGTGGAATAAGTTGAGTCAAATTTTTCTCAGAAGTGTCATGTTTTCTCTGATGTTCACGGACGGATTGCTGAGTTCACGGTCTTACAAGACCGTGAACAGGCAAACACGTCCGTGAACTGGACGCTTCTGCATGTTCACCACCTGTCGACCAGCCCCAGTTAACGGATGCATCTGAGAGTTCACGGTCACTAAGCCAGTGAACAAGGCAACGAGTCTGTGAACTCCGAGTTGTGCCTATAAAAGGGGCGTGAACGTCGACTCTTCACTTCACGACCAAATCTAGCCGGAATATTTCAAATCTTCGCCGGAAAACCGCGAAACTCCATCGGTTTTTCGATTTTCCCCACATTTTCGGCGCACAAAACCCAAAACAAACGTCATACCCATTCTCCCCTCATCAAAACCGGCCTGTGCAGAAATTTTGGGGAGATTTGGGGCAATTTTTTTCCAGTCAAGTTGCCGGCGGCAAGCTTCCGGCGAGTCTCCGACGAGCTTCCGACGAAGCTCCGACGACCCCCCTCCGGTCAGTTTTTCAGCCATTTTTAACCTTCCTCGCCCGCACCTCACTTCCTCCTATGTCCTACTTGCGTCTCCAGGTTTGTTTTTCAGCTTTACCTTATTAATTTGTTGAGAATCGTATTAGGTAGTGAAGTGAGGATGATTTTTGTGCTTTGCATGTTGAACCTAGATTTAGGGCGAGGAATTAGGTGAATTAGGTCGATTAAATGGTGGAATGATTTTTGCTTGAGCTTAGTTGAGCCTTGGTGGGCGTGTTTGATCAGAATTGCCTTTATCTTTTAGAATTTGCCCACCAAGTGCTATGTTATGAATGCAAGTGGAGTTTTATGCTTGATTGGTGGATGGTAGCCACCGTGGTTTGGATTGTGGTTCAATTTTTTTGTGTGCTTGAACCGTGAATTACCCACAACCATGCCACGGTGGTTTGAGCTTAAATGTTTGATAACCATGGTGGAAAAACAAGCATGGGGGGAATCTCTCTTCCTCCCAATGGGCATTTTCTGATGATTATTTCCACATATGGTGTATGTTTCTCAGTTTGTGCAGGATACTTAACTTGGAGCACGAGTACATCCGATATTTGGTGCACCACCCAGATTTTGGCAACAAGTTCCCCTACCAGAGTGGCAACCCGATTGGGCTTCACTGGCGTCTGAACCTGGACATGTTCAACTTGTTAGGTGTCGAACCGCGATGACCGGGGTGCCTTGTCACCCCCAGTGGCGCCAGCTCTTGACAATGGATGAGGAGATCTACCATGAGCTATGTGTGGAGTTCTACTCCACCTTCTCCCACATCATCCCGCCCATCAAGAAGAGCCGACCGAGGGTGGAGTTCATCTTGGGAGGTCAGCCACGAGCGCTGACCTACGACGCCTTTGCTCAGGCGATGGGGCTCGAACCCACTCACATGACAATGACGGAGCGTCAAAACACCGTCGACTTCAACTATCATGGAGCATTCCGAGCCCTCTACTGCTCCGAGCATGAGCAGGACGACTACGAGGGGAGCTGCACCAATGCGGTAAAGCTGAGGACTCCTTGGAAGATCGTCCACACTCTGCTCACCCACTCATTCGTCCCCAGCCTCCAGTACGGCCACTTGATGACGAACAGTGGGCTCATTGCCCTCTACTCCATGAGGAGTCCAGCAGAGCTGATCCATCTGGGATCGCTGATCGCCATTTCTTTCGCCCGGTGTCTGGGGCGGAACAGAGTGGACACCATGCATATGAGGGGCCTCATCACGAGGATGGCCCGACACTTCCAGGTGGATCTGACTCGGTGCACCAGCGCTGGGAGGATGACTCCCTTCCCAGTGGAGACGCTGTACAACCAGAAGCTGGTACTCCATGGAGAGCGAGGAGTGGAGTACCTTGAGGAACTCCGACCTTCGGGAGTCATCCGAGCTGCAGTTGACCCGGCTCCAGTGGATCCTGACCCTGAGATCCCACCTCCAACAGAGCAGCCACCTGCTTGTGCACCCGGCCGCTGCCGGCGTCTAGTGCTTTAGCGCCCAGCACAGCCACCACCACCACCAGCAGGTGATCCCCTTGTCCAGAGGGTGTGTCGCCTTGAGACAAACTTTGTGGGATTCTCTTCCCGCCTAGACCGGCAGAATGACATCCTCGAGCTTATGGCTCGACGCCAGAGCATCCTCCCAGATGAGGCCGCGGGTCCTTCCACCAGAGAGAGGTAGTCGACGAGTGAGACATGTGGCTGAGCCAAATCCTTTCGCCCCACTTCTCCACTAGTAACCCTGAACTTGTTTTTTTTTTGTTATTTTACTTCATTTTGTGTGTGTGTGACATAAGCCACTACTATCCTATTGTGTTTGTAATAAACTCGCCTCGAGCGAGTGGTATTGTGCTTGTGTGTGTGTTTTTGTATCTCCTTGAATCTCAAAATATCCTACCCCGGATTTGATTCCAACTTTCACTCACCAAGCCCAAGCGGTAACATCATTCTCCCCTTTCTTACGCTATTGAGGGCAATGTCGAGTTTAAGTGTGGGGTAGTTTACTAATATGCTTGGGTGAGTGTGATGGATGCTTGGAGCTTTGATATATGCCCAAATTCAAAAATTTGAGGGCTCCAAGCAATGTTTGCATGATCAAAGTGGTCGATGTGTGGGAAATTCTCGTGTTTATTGGCATTGATCTTGAATTGTTGCTTGTGATAGAGTATATCCTATGATGATGACTGAGAGGTTCATTAGGATAGTGCAAAAGTTTAGTTCTCATGTGTGCATAAATGAATGGATGTCTTGATTCGGTTACTTTTTGATTACAATTGCCATGCATTGTGTTTGTGAATTGGAATAGATGGTTGGGTGACTAGGTAGCAATGTGAGCTATGAGCCGATCGTTTTCTTCTTGTGTGCTTAGATCCCTCTTACCATGGCGAGTAACATCTCAGTTGTCACTAGTGAGTATGATGGAGGCATAGGATTAGTCCACGCCCAAATGTTGATTGTCCCGAAATGTGTTATCCACTAGTCAACCCCTTTGAGCCTTGTGACTTCGAGGGTCGTTCTTAAGTTAGGAGCTTCGTGCTTGTGAGCTTAATGGTGTTCATAGATTGACCCCCAATCCTTTCTTCGTGTCTAAACATGAGACGTCCTTGTGTGCGGTTCTTGCTAG